GTAATATAACAGGTATAAAAATATTACAAAAGTATTGTAAATTTAAATAAAACTTTCTAACTCTTTGATCTCACCAGCCTTTAGATCGTACTTTGTTAGACATTCGTTATTTATGCATCTTCTGAATATTTCTGTTCATTAGTGTGAGATTCACAACTGGTAATTTTACAAATAGTGAAGCTTAGACTAATAAACATTCAGTTTCTATTTAATTTTATTTTTAGAGAGAGAACAATAAAGATTTAATTGAAGTCATCTAAAACTAGCAGTAAAATTAAGAAAACTTTATAATTTAATATATTAAATTGCTAGGTAGCACGGAATGAATTAAAAATGAGTCATCTATGGAATCCGCCAGACCATTGTTATTATATCAAAGATATTTTTTATGGGTTTTATTTTTTTTGTTTAATGATAGCTAAGTCCGTAAGAAATAAATTAAATAAATATGATTTAAATCTGTTCAAAACTGTAGCCATGAGGCTAATACCACAGCAGTCCTTATTATAATTTGTTACTTTTTACATTAGTATAGAATTTGTTGTTTTATTAAATCACTTTTTAAATTTTACATTGATTAAACTTAACGCTGTTTCGCTTTTTCGACTTTTCATTGCAAAATTAAATCGTCGAAGTAGTAAAAGTCTAGAGTCCATGAAAACGCTAACAAATAAAATATATCAGTCACTTTTGTCAGTCACTTGTTATTTAAAATTTACTTAAGTATTTTTTTCGCATTTATTAAAGACATTATTGGATGTACATTTATATTTAGGCATCGATTTTTTACGTTAACATAAATGAGGAACGTATAACGTGCCCGTATAGCATATATGTAGCTTGTTTAAAAATACATATATAAACATGAAAATGAAAATGACTTGGGTGCAATCAGGTGACAAATCTTATTAGGATTCACAGCTCTTAAGATTAATTTATCCATTCAATGAAATTAATGAACCGTCCCTGAAATAGACTTCAAAGATAGATAAAATTTTTTATTTTCGTTGCATAAGATTTTTCTATCTTGAATTTTTTATTTATGCTATCTTTAATAAAAATAAGGCAGTATTAAAACTAGTTCACTGCTTCACTGCAAGCTAACAGCAATAACATAACACCACATAACTAAATTCTCTGTAAGGCAATAGATAGTTGATGCATTCACATATACATACGTATAAAGGAACGATTTTTTTCTCACAGATATATACATTTACAATTACCTTATTGCTTATCTGTATACTAAGGGTAATAAATAAAAATATTGTTCAGGCTGCTAAATAAAAAAGTAAGAATATGATTAATCCCTCGTAAAAATTTTGTTTATTGCTTTAAGTAGAGGGTACTAGCCGAAACAAAATCCAAAAAAATTGTCACGCGTCTATTAAACGATGATACCTTTCTCTATTTCTCTGTAATATTTTTATTTCAAAACTCGTATCTGTATGTTAGCAAATCGAAGTATTGACATTCGGTTGTGCATATGATTGCTGTAAGTTTTTCTCACAAAAATTTAAGTTGAGAAAGATAATAATTAGAAAGGTTTACTTCAAAATTACAAAATATTAAGAGAAATATTAAGGTCAATGGCTTTTTTCAATAAGTTTTGCATACATGTAACAAAACGGATACATTGTGGCTCAAGCCATAAATTTCATAAAAATCAATACATTTCAAACTGTGCATACTATTTGATTAACTTTTTATAGTTCGATGCATTTATTATAAGGTAGTCGGTTGAAAAATAATAAAGTTCATGAAAAATATTTTTCTACTTGTAAGCCATCGAAACGAAATTGCATTAACTTTATAAAACACTCGTATTTCCAGAATTTTACAAAACTTGTACTATTTATATGGAAAAGTTCATGGTAAAATTTATTTATAAATTTAGTCATATTTTAAACCTCATAGTCTCTTATATATAATTACTTATTGGAATATTAAAAGGTTTATGGAATTTATATTACACATTTAAAAAAAGTTTTTAAATCAACAGAGTAGCGTTTAAATGCGTTTTAAAAGCAGTTGCGGTTTACATATTAAATAGCAACTTAAACTCCATACGTTTATGAAAGTTTATTTTTATGAATATACATATGTGTGTACGGAGAAGGTTGTAAATGTCCTTCATAAAACTTCTTCTAAAATATTTGAAGGGTCTTTAACTATGTTGTTCTTTTCGAGTCTCTAAGGAAATACGTGTCCCAATTTAAGTTCCCATGATACTCATAAAATCTATAGTGACAATACTGTATATTTACTTAAGATGTGATAATTGAAAAATACGCCACCCCAATATCGCGACTGATTCAAGCGTTTCTCAAATATTTCCATTTCACAGATCAGTGATTAGGATAAGTTAAAATTTTCAATCTATATTTATTTCTTATTCCACAGAAAACACAATAACTAAAAATCACGTCGGGCTTTGTTAAAACGTTTTACTATAATAAAGTGAAATTTGATTAAATTATAAAAAAATATGTTTCTATTGTTTGTTTATTTTAATTAAATTTATATAATAATAATTTGTAAAGATAAAATTATATTTCACGGTACATGTGGTTCATGTGGACATGGAATTAAAATTGTGGTTCAATTTTAATTAAATCAATCACTAAAGTATATAAAATTGTTAATTATTAAATGAGATTATAGGGGAAAATCAAAAAGAGATAATAATTATTAAATGTGAATGTTCGGTACGATGATTATTTTAATTGAGTCTTAAATGTGAGGGATAATTACCATATTTGAATGGATATATAATTTAATCGTATTATAAGAAATAAAAATATGTATGGATAGGATAGTAATAGTACTGATTAATTTTTATTTATACTTCTTCGTCTAGAATAGAATAGAAACAAAACATTATCACCAAATGTTTACAAATAAACGTTTGATTTTGAAGTAAGTATAATTTCGATCCACCAGATTTTTTATTTTATAATTACACCATTATTGTTACTCAAAGCTAAACATTTATATTGTAATCCTAAACATTAAATAACTCATTAGTTTTAACACTAAATATTTGCATTAAATATCATAACATTACTACAATGGATTCAATTTACAGGTTGTGAAGTAGCCAACCTTTTTTCTCAAGCGACGCCGCAGGGTAGTGGATTACATTATCTTCCGCTTTTACTTTTAGTTATATGTAAAATATAGTTTGTTCTTGTTTTCTATCTTTTTATTACTCTTTAATTGGAAGAAGCATGCTAAGTATGCTAGAAATTATAATATATAAAACTCACAACGCATTATGATACGGTAACTTTAAGGTACCATTAGGCTGCCTATTTTTCATACAGCAGATAAAAACTTTAGTAACAAAACCATCTTAGGTTATTATACTTAACTGGATATATAAATAACATATATATAAATCTTTTTAGTAGATAAAAAGGTTTTCTGAAAATTATATAAATGCATGCAATGCAATGCAGGGACGTTAAACTATAGTATCATGATTCATGACTATATAATACAACCTCTCTTTAATGAAAAAAAAAGATAAAATTACAACAGTTTCCAGGTAACAGTTCAAATATCTAGGATTTATGTTTTTGTAGAAGCTTGCATGTCGTTTATGTTAAGTGGTAGGAACGACTTTAGTTTTATATTCATTCTGTAAAGTAGTTTTTGCGTAATAAAATATTGAAAAAAATAGAAGGCGTTTTGTTATACAATCTCATATTTTTATTAAAATTCTGTCTAATATAGCCGTCGTAACGTACATGCCTGAAGTGCAGGTTGGCTTTTTAAAATTTTCCAGGGTCATAGGACCTATACTGAAGCCATTATGGATTGGTCCTTGTAATTCGTTCATTCGTATTCACTTCATTATCGTCCATTTTAATTAAAGGTCGTTATAGTCTGGAACACTCGTATGTTTTTATGAAAAAAGAGACATTTTATACCGTTGTATTACCTCTTTTTCCAAAATATAGAAGAAATGTAAGTTTCACTCCGCTTGCTTTTCAGTTGAAATACTTTAGCATATAAGCATAAGTGAGCAGAATGTCTTGATTCACGACCTTTCACAGGAAAGATCCAGCTACTATTAGATGACCGACACTATTTGTATTCGCTTTTTGATTGATTGATTCAATATTGGGAAGGCATTATATAAAAGATAATCAAGATATTAATAAGTATGAAACTGCGTACCTTTTGACTTGTATATAAAATTAAAATAAGTTATTAGCATTATCACAAACTGTGAAATATAAAATATAATAAGTCATCTTTCCTCGTTCTTATCAACATTTTATTCTAAGATAATACTAATAATATCAGACTAAAATTTATTGTTTACAATTAAAGTTAAATGTGTATATAATTGATACAAAATCCTTTGTCTCGTTGCCGTTATATTTCAATTGTTTATTGTTTTCCACCTCATTGTAATCAAAACAAATTAGTACAATCAAAATAAATTTGTATGTTTACATTTTACTGGAATCTACATAAAATTTCCATCACTCTTCAAAACATTATAATTATCGGTAAACATTTATATTTTTAATAAATTTAGAAACATTAAGAGCATTCAGCTCTTTAAGTCGATTCGATTTAGAGCGTAAATAATATTGGAACAAAAATTACTGGAACAAATTGCCGTCGTTATAATTAACTCACGTAGAGGGTAAGTCGGTGGTACACACGCGTGCCACGCGGCCTGGATGGAGGAGGGATTCAATTAAGGCTTAAGCAAAATGAGATTCAAATATAACCAACGAAGCCGGCCAGTATTCAAATTAACTTTTTTCTAAATTGAAAATAAATACTCAGAGACTATCCTTTGATATCACTTCATAAGGAATCACATTGAAAACTTAATCTGAAACTAGCCAGTGTCGTAACGAAATACAGCCGGTGAGAAATGGCTATTATCGAGATATTCTATGTTTTCTTAAGTCATTAATTTCATTTAAAATATATATCTAACACGAAGACACATTTTTATATGTTAAAATACTCACGTTCAGAACAATGATGAAAAAGTCGAGGGTGAACAAAAACGACGTGATTGGATTGAAGTTGAGCTGAAACAAAACAATTATATATTATATTACAGGCTTGACATAAAACAAATCCTTTTCTTATATCAATGTAGGAGCTAACATTTAAGGATGATAAAATTTATATCATAATAATTTAATATGATGAACGGATCGAGAAAGAATGACAGTTATAAGAATTTCAATATCCTACATTTAATAAAAAACGCTTAATTAAAACTATGTTTCAATTCACCGAGTATTTTTTTAGTATCACCCGATGAATAACAATAACTTAATGAAACATAAAATGTAAAATTATCTATAACACAGAATATTTACTCATATAATATTATTAATTATTAATTTTATACATTTAATGACTTATAACTTATCTTTTCATTTCATTAATCATAAATGTTGCTCAAATTTTTCTTTCAAAAAAAATATTATAAGTTGAAACTGTTAATTGAGAATTTTTTTTAATTCATATCTCATTAGCCCAGATGCTGGAAAAGTGGTTTCATGTACACTTTTTCCAATATCCATTATATTAAGCCAGAATTTCTAATGAAACAACGTAAAGTTCAAATAAAAAAAATCCGGAGTCTTTATATACTATTTTCGTTATTGTACATTATTGAAACATTTGCCATTATTCCTTCGTTTAAAATATGTGTTTTATTAGCTATACAGAAAGACATACAGAATATGCGGAATGGCAATTACTTCTCTCTTTGAGGATTTCATCCACCTACTACAACAAAATATTACCGATACCGAAAACTACATTATAACCGATAACTTTTATTTTATCAATCTGCAATACGGTAATGTATTTCCAACAAGACTTTAATTGTATTTTAAGAATATACAATTTAATTTTATTATTTGAATAGTTTATCTATCTCTTTAACAACGTCGATATTCAAGGTCTCTGGAACGTTATGTAACTCATTTGTACAGAGAGGTCGACAGGAGATAAATAGCGAACGTAGGGACTATTGCTCTTCCTTTTACGGAAAGAAGGTCTCATTTATGTAACCTTCATACATTGAATGACACAATTTTGATTAAAATTACTAAACGTACATAGAAATGTTCTTCATTCTTACGATCAAAAGACTATTTTTTATATTTTTAAGACAACTTTAGAATCGGGTAGGTTTCTAAAAATTCTTATGAAACTTTAACCTTTATATAACTCGACTTTATTTTGACGTCTTTTTATAAGAATAATAAAAGCATACGCTCAAGGACCTATTTAGATATGTAGATTTAAATAAACCAAATATGGACCATTACGGATCTGCATAAAAATGGGAAAGTTAAGTATTCTTGCCTCCATGAGCTTCTAACATATTAACTGTCCTTATAATTTGAAAAGGGTTTTGAGCTCGGTTCAAGTAAATAAATATATAATAACGAGCTTTAGTCTGTGACTTCGTTTGATGGAAGTCGAAAGTGGCCTTGTAGGATTTATAATAGCTTTTATATATTTGTAGCACTACGTTCGTTATACATTTGAAACGGAAAAACAATGTTCTGATTAGGACATCGCATAAGTTGGTCGAATGAAACATGAGTAAAAATGAAACAAGAATATTACGTTCTCAAAAGAACGTAACTATGTTCAGCAAATTGAAACATTAAAACGCATTAAAAAAAGCGCTTATCCACAGGAAATAAAACAATTATGATACATGTATAACGCATTCCTAATATTGACTTTTTAACTGTCAACAAAAATATATATTATTTTGGTAACTTATAAAAGATTATTATTAATTTAATGTAAAGGTTTAAAGGTAAAATAAACATAAAAAATAGTACAGTAAACTAGGCCATTTGGTAAAAGTGAATCGAGGGTATTAAAAAAATCTAGATACTGCAGCTAAACAGGCAATACCATTCAATGTTTTTACTTTAATTCTGGTGCTATTGCATATTTTTAAAATTATTTGGTAAAACAGGGTTTGGACGGATGTTTAATATTGTAAACGGTGTTGAGGAAACGGTTTTATACAGATATTCGACCCATTCGAATAATTTTTAAAGTGCTTCACTAATGATTGAATTTTGTTCGTTTTTTGGTGTATTACTATGAAATTTTTGTGAAGGTTTATCATAAATACAATAAATAGCAATTTTTGACATAGTGACTATTTAGAAGATATAACGAATGCTTCTCATTTTATCCAGCGGTAAACTTGATAGAAAAATCTTGTATATTAATAGAAAAATCTTGTATATTCTATTAGAACAGTTCAAACCATTAATAATAAAACTATAACAGACATATCTTTGTTCATTGGTTAGAGAGCCTCCAATACTTAATACCACTTCTGTTAAGGAATTGATATCGGAACTTGTTGCCTTTAAGTAGTCTTGGTTATTGATATAGTATACAGATATAAACTTTCGAGAACGAGGCAACTGTACTTTTTTATGTACTGTACGAGGTTTTTCTTTACTAATATATTACTAGAAAGTCATACCACCTGATGGTGTTTGGAAATGAAGCCGTATATAATAAAGGCACTATCCCAATAAAAAAGGGTCTTTAATTGTTTCGCGTCAGCCATCTATGAGTTTTTTCTTATACTTGTAAAAAAGTGTAAAAGCACTTCTCCAAAAGAAAGGTTTTATCTAACCCTTCTTTTTGGTATATAATGCTTACAATGTCCTTGTGAAAATTAGGTTAAAAAAAAAAAATTTAAATCAAAACAATTTGTAAGTATTGTTACCAACTTTAAAACAAAGCACTTCTTAAGTAATTTCCTATGCCTTCTCATTTCCATTAGAGAATAATTTTTGATAAAATACAAAATGTCTTCCGTCACTTTTATTAAAGAAATTTACGCAAAAATTTTAAGTAATAATAATTTAATTGGCTAAGGTATCGTAAAGCTAAATTTTACTATAAAACAACCAGAAAAACGTCAACTGAAATGACACTAAAAGCTGTTGAATCTTACGATTGTTCTAATTTAAAGATTTTGCACTCGATCCACATCCAATAATTTGACTTCCTCCGATTTGGAACCGAATGTAAAGAAAGACTCTTAATAAATTTCTGAATAGCTTCGCCTGCTTTACTTGTAAATTCTATTCAGGGCTTCATTAAATATTTATTTCATTTTAACATTACGCCCAATATAACGTAAAATATAAATTTATTTTAAAATTACAATCATTATCGAATTAACTTTAGGGATCAGTTAAATATTTTAAAGCGCCCACCGGTATATTAAAGGATTAAACGTAATTAAGACATTTTTAGACATAATATTTTTTACACAAAAATTAATCCACACGTCGCTCGAGATACGTAGGTGAATTGTGTTCGTGGGGTAGTGGAAAGCTTTTGAAACCCTTGAGGAATCTTGTGCTCTTACTTTGTAAATAACGAAGATGATCTATGCACTAATAGAAATATTAATGTGGTTTCAGTTAGACAACCATTTAAGTTAAACAGCACGGAACAACCTAGAATCAAAAGACGAAACCTCTTAGCATCCAATGGATTCACCGTACGGGTGCCGGGTCCACCGCGATGAGTTTGTCTATTTTTTCTGGTGAACAGAAGATTGAGTGAAGAGTATTTTCACTACAGCCATACTAATAAAACTGATTAGTGATGCTTAGCCTCTACTTATACTAAGTTTAAAATTTGGACATTAATCTTAGAATTATTAAAAATAAAAATGTTTTTGAAATAACGCAATGAAGTGAAATCTATAATATTATAAATTTAGAATGTTTATCCTGTAAATTTTTAGCAAATCAACTAAAATATATTGTGTGTTAGAACTCAAGGGGACAACTACATTTAACGCTCATCCTGGGGGACATTCTGATGGTTTCACATTTATTCATCAATCTTCTGTATATTGCCACTATTTACGACATAATATGTATATGTTAAAAATTTTATTTGACTTTGTTACTCGATGAATTTACTGGCAGTTAAAGTTTTTTATTGGTTGATTTTAATATATAACTTTGTTCATAAACTATTACACTTTCAATAAAACTAAGATTTTCGGATATATGTACTACATGTTTTTTATTATTTTAAAACTACATACTTAAAACATTTCGGTTACTTTGCAGCAACAGTGATGACGGCCAGAAGAGATGAAAATTTCTATCAGTTATTTGTCGTCTACCGCTAACGTTTCCTTATTTCTTTGCGTAGGTACCACTCGGGATGCATTCAAAATGTGTTTACTGTGTCTTGAGGTCTTGCGCTGTGGCCATGGATATGGGATTTTATATTTTTATAAGGGTAACATAAATATCAGCGTGTTATATAATTTCACGTCATCTTCTCAATTTAAATTTTGATGTTTTTTAATTTCAAAGCCTCGCGTGTCAGTCTTTGTATGTACCTGTCTGTCATTCCACTTTTTCAACCTTTGTGTTTTTTCGGTTTATGTTGTCGAATGCGTCCTTGTATAGGTACACACGATAGTAAGGTTGTTTCCACTTCATCCCTAAACTCGTCATCTAAACATATTATATCAATATAGTTGGCTTCTCTGTTCGTAATATTGAAGTAACAGTTTTTAACTTCATGTGTATTAAATGCGATACATACACCACAATAAAATATTTTTTAAATTTTTGTCTGCCTGTCTGTTTGTATAAATGGCTAAGCTATAGGCAGAAACTAAATTTATCGCTCGATTTTTAATCATTGGCTTCGATGATTAATCATTGGCTGATACATATATTGAGTCGTCTGTTAAGAAATATTTATATGTGCTTCCAAGCCTCACTGATATTATCAGATACTATACTATACAGAATAAGGAGTTAAGACAAGGATATAAATAAAAAAATAGAAGCTGCCAATTCAGAGTATATTTTGAAGTCAGTATATTGTTAATAATTATAACTGAAAGCAATGTCGTATATAATATATATTTTTAAAATGTGGTTTATTTGCTTTGTTTTAAGTTTTACTATAATTTCTAACAGTAAAGTATATAGTAGCTCGTGAATATTTTTAAGAACTAGAACTCACAACATTAACATTT